GGAATCCCTGCTGAGCAGGCAGTGAAGATTTTCACTGCCATCAGGGGCCTGGGCTGGGACCTGGTAGAGGGGGAGGGCCCAGGTCCCCTACCTTCCCAGTCCACAGTATCCTGCTCCCTAACAACTGGGGGAGACTTATCTGTGGACTAAGCATGTAGGCCGGAGTAACTCCGAGAAAGGGGAGCGTGGAGGGGCATTGCCCAATCCCTGCTGAGCAGGCAGTGAAGATTTTCACTGCCATCAGGGGCCTGGGCTGGGACCTGGTAGAGGGGGAGGGCCCAGGTCCCCTACCTTCCCAGTCCACAGTATCCTGCTCCCTAACAACTGGGGGAGACTTATCTGTGGACTAAGCATGTAGGCCGGAGTAACTCCGAGAAAGGGGAGCGTGGAGGGGCATTGCCCCAACTTTGGGGGCATCCTGACTGTCGAGGGGACTGGCCCCTCGGTACTGCCTTACTTCAAAACATGGATTACACAGAATCTCAATATGGACACTGACTATCCATTTCTTAAACTGCCTGGTGTTTGTGTCAAACCCATACAGCTAGATCCAAAATTGCACAGTTGCAAACATTACAAAAAAGAACCCTAAACTAATGTAAGGAGAAAAGAGATAATGGGAATATGTTGATTTTTGTAGCTTTTTGTTGGTCTAATACAAATAGCAGCCAAAACCGATAAACTTCATCTCATTTTCCCCTGTAACTTCCTACAGCCAAATCGCTATGAAAGAGCACAAAAAAGGAATGGAAGAAATAGTTTGAAGAAGAAGTGGCAGTTTTAAATGGTCCTTTTCCTGGATGTTCAGCTCCATTTGGTCAGCTGACAGCTTTTTCACCACTCTTAAGAGCTGTTCAGCAATCCTTGTTTAGGATCTAATCCTGGCATCTGTATCAGTGGATATTACTCTAGGTTCAGGGCCTTACTTTCTACATAAAAAAGTACTAAATACAGCTCACTTTCTAGTTATGTCTCCTTACACACTAAGTAGTAGTCATGATTTATTGGTGTGGTGTCCTGACGAAGCAGGAAACCTATCAATGATGATAAACAGTCAGCTGCATACATGTGTGCTCAATCATAGTGTACCGTTTTGACTTGCGTAGTAGTCAACACAGCAGACTCCAAGAGAGCTCCCAAAAGACCACAAATCAGATAGGAATCAAAGGTGCTTGGCTAAGTTTATTGTTAAGCGAAGTACAGTAATAGTTTTCAGTAGACTCTGCCAAACCACTATGCATATATACCCCATAACAATGGATTGACTCCGTCAGTGGGAGGTTCCACTGCCCTCTAGTCCAGACAAAGACTGTGTCCCGCCCCTCCCCCCCACACACTACTTTCTATACAGGTACAAACAAGTTATACATTATTCCTGTCACTGTCAGAGAGAAGTAGTCAGTTATCCCTGGGGACACAGTGGGTGAAGCCCAGCTTCCCTCTGCAAGGTGAGGATGACCATTCCCTGCACCATCAGAGCCAATGTGCTTGCACACAGGCCATGTTCAGAATGCCCTGCTATCCCCAGGAGTGGGAGCTGCCTCGAGACCACACTCATGCTCTGTGGTGTATACATTGTGTGTGGGGGGCGGGGAGATGTCCCCTGCCTCTGTGTAGAGTGGCCTTGCGGAGGGAGGGTGTCCTGCTGTGTCTCACCCGAGTCAGGACAATGTCATGCCTCCTCACATACACGTGTGGCTAACAGGGTAAGGCCCCTGCGTGGCAGCCAGCTGGGGCCACATGCCATGGGGTGGCATGGCACATGCTTGCACATGCACAGGTTGCTGTGTGATCCATGGACAGCAAGGCCCACATGCAGTCCCTGGTTTCCATCTCCCCCTGTCCCCGCATAAGGGGGCAGTGATGGCACTCACATGTTGTTGCCTCCCTGGCCTGAGATGACACCGGCGACAGGTCCACTGGGGCAGCTCGGGGGTCCTGGCTCATCTGGGTGGTGATGGCCTCCTGACTCTCCTCCTCAATGCCCTGGTCAGGACCCTCTGCCCCCGGGTTGACGACCACCTGGGGGGCACAGACCGTCCCACCCTCCAGGATGTGGTCCAGGACATCAATATAGGGGCAGGTGTGTGGGTCTGCCCCTGATTGGGAGCTGCCCCCTGTGGTCCTGGCATAGGCCTGCCAAAGATCCTTTGTTTTCATCCACACTGCTCCTGGGTGCATATGTGGCTTTTGCTGGCCATGCTGGCAGCTATTCTGCCATAGACAGCCGCATTCCTCTGTCTAGTGCAGAGATCATGGACGTTGGGGGCATCCCCCCAAAACTGAATAAGGTCCATGATCTCCGCCCTGGACCAAGAAGGCGCCTGCATTTTCTGGCCTCTGGCAGGCTCTTGGGAACTGGCAGACTGGTCCAAGGGAGCACTGGAGCGCTGGCTGCTGGTGGCTTGCTGGCTCATGTTTTGGGACCACTGGGTTAAGGGCAGTGACTGCTGGCTCCGGGCTGGCAGGCCTGGAGCTGGCACAGGCACTGTGGCCAGACTCTACTCCTTTAAGGGCTCCAGGGTTGTGCCCTGAGTGCCCAGCAGGGCACCCTGGGAAGGGCTGGAAGCCCCCTATTTCAAAATAAGCATCTACACAGCGCTTATTTCTAAATAGCAATTTTGAAATTGGCGCTATTCCTCGTGGAATGAGGTTTACAAATTTTGAAATAAGCCCGCTGCTATTTCGAAATAGCAGTTTGGCTGTGTAGACGCTAGGAAAGTTATTTCAAAATAATGGCTGTTATTTTGAAATAGCTTTGCTGTGTAGACATATCCTTACGGAAAAATTCTGGATACCGGATTGCTCCAGCAAGCTTACTAAAGTATTGGAATCAGATTTTTTTTTAAAAACATATTTTACAAGTTTCCCATATTTAGCATCTCCAAAGCCAAAAAGAGAATAGGGCAAGTGTTGTGACAGAGGAAAAACACCTGTGTTTGGCCAATCTCATCAACTGATTTCTGAATCTGTGAGCAGCAAGACCCAACAGGCCATAATGGAGCCAGGCCCAAACCTGCACAAAAGGAGCTGCAGCTGCAGGGTGAATGGCAGTGGTTCAGCACCCACAAAACATTTTTTCACCAGCTGCCTATGTTCTCTACAGGAAAAATGGTAACATATGAGAAGTTAAGGTATACAATAGGTCACTGAGTCTTTATGCATTTCAGCTGAAAATACTGATATTTTGTTTAATTCAAGCAGTCTCATAACTAATTCAATAGTAACAATTTAGCAATTTTTATTACATTACAAATATTACAAAAACAGTGAACAATGGTAAAATAAATGCCAATATCTAATGTATAAAGTTAGGAACAGCTCTTGGCACACAATTTTGACATTAATGGAAAAAAATGTGAAAAAAATGAACAGCATTCATATCTTTCTGAAGAATCAAAAGTTAAAATCTACAAATTAATGTTGGGGTTATAATAGCATACACTGAAGGGTTAATAAGCATGAGGTAGTTCTATTTTAGTGTCCTATACTGTGTCAAAGGGAAATCTGCCATCATTCAAGGAAACTACTTAGGTATGTACATTTCTTAAAATGGTAGCTGCAATTCACTCCCCAACTCAACAATTTCCAAATTAATGTTAATACTGCATTATGAAATCCTAGCCCCATTAAACTCCAAGAGACTCTTCAGTGACTTCAAGGTCAGCTAGGATTTCAACCCTTACTTTTTAAAAAAGTGTTTCACTTGCTAAAATACTTTAATTCTTAAAGGCAAATAGGTATATCAACATCACATTTCTCAGAACTTAAGCAAAAGCTGGAGGAGGATGAAGAAGATAAGTTATCAAGTTAGGTCAGTGTGAGAAGTCAGGATTCAGTTATGAATATAAACATTAAAAAGAGTGCTGTATTCTTACACCTAGGAGCAAATTTTAAAGAGAAACCAACAGGATGGGAATTGCAAATAGAGGAAGCTCATTTTCTAAGCAAGCACAAAAACTCAGTCTTAGAAATTCTTTTTTTTTAAACTGGATGTAAGAACCACATTAAAATCTGCAAACCAAAATGGTCCAAAATTTCTTGTCACTAAAAGTAGTGTCTATTATTTGTACTGAGTACCCCATGAGCAATTTCCTGTTTCCCACCAAGATTTGTGCTTTCACATTTATACATAAATATATATGCAAAGGAAAGTGAAATATGGGAGTAGCTATCTAATACCTCTGGAAGTGCAGATTTTTGTGCTTCTGATATAGCAGCGTCACACTGGTATTAAAATTACCTGTTTTCTTTATAAGAATTTGTACAATATGGTGAAAACAAATGTTTACAGTTTGAGAAACCATATTGAAATCAAATCCATTCAGTACCCATAATTTACTAAGCCATTATTTGCATTTAGCAGCACATTTCGAGAAATAACAAGATGACTTGTCCTCAAATCCATCTTCACAATCATAGCAGGTTACATTGATAGACACGTTCATGGGCCTCTGATGGAAGATTGAAAATGTAATAAAAGTAAAGGAGAATACATTTCAGATACTTGGATAATATTTTGCTCTTGTAAAACAGTTTTTCAGTTCTAGGAGCTTTATTAATTAACATACTATCAACACAATTCCTTTTATATAAATGTCTCTCCCTCCAGATTTTCAATGTCTGAAGAAAATCTGACATTAACATGCTAACCATATCTAGCAGACTATAAGATGGGTAGATAGAAAACTAGGATTTAATAAATGCCTGTTTTGATGCAACTTTAGTTTAAAATGTCAAAAGCATACCCTTGTTCAGTGTTTCCCAAACAGTATGTCTGGATGACAAGAAGATTCTATATGGGGTGCTATGTGCAGGGGCAGATTAGCCCATCACTGAACCTAACCTACTTCTATCAACCTCATGTGAAGTGGAGGCCCAGGATGGGTGTACTGATGAGCAAGCTGGCCTTGCAATGACCCCACTGCAGCAGCTTCTATCCCATGGGCTAGGCCCAGCTCCCCACTTTCAGTTCTGCAATCTCAAGCCTGTAATCACACCACCACTCTCCGAGATTTGGCCCACACAAATTTGATAAGCATAGCATCAGGCTCTATGCAAGCCAATAAGAGCACTTTGCAAGTCACACCCTTTTAGAGCCCTCTTGCCAATAGTGGAAAACAAGCCCTTAAGCTGATTTACAAATCCTTTTCATTTTATGCAAAGCAAACTAGAAGATACAGTTACAAATTTTGGACTCACTTATTAGCCAGATTCAAAACATACCCCTTCATATGTTCAGTTGGTAAAGTTTTGCACTGTAGTAGAGGTTGACCATATAGCACAAGCCATAATTTGTGCACCCTGCAGAGTCTGAAACGTTTAACCAAAATCTTGCTATAGCTTCGTGATAGGTACAATTCCTGACTCCCTAAGGATGAGAAAGCGTAACTATGTAACCATGTATATGGTTAACCAATGAGCCTGGGCTCATCAGTTAACATTTATGGTTACACACAGGCTCCCAGTATGTGCAGGGAGCCAGCTAAAAAGCCGGCTCCAAGCACACAACTGCTCCCACAGAGCCACCTTCCCTCCCCCTCCTCCCAAACAATGCTGCTGTCTCTGGTTAAAAAGCCAGCTCCTCTGGGCACCAGATCCTGGGGAGTGGACTGCTGCTCTACATGTAACCACTGAAATTTTCAGTGGTTACACAGTTATTTAATTAAACACATTTTAACGTACCTAAGACACACAAGACCCAACATTCAATGAAATGCCATTTGACCATAAATCATGAGAGAACACAGAATATGCTTCATGGCACCATTGAGGAGCATCGTACCGATAAGATTTGTAATTAGCCCAAAGGACAAATGATGATGATAAACTCTGCAAATGAAAAATCAACAATATCTACAAAGTGTTCTGCTGTTCTTAAGAGATTGCCTATTCAACTTCTGTTATTTCATAGTAAATTCAACTCAGTAAGTTACCGAGTACAGGAAACCCTGGCCATTTGCAGTGGATGAGTTCCTGGCACCACCATGAATGGCAAAATTCGCAAATTCTGGGGACCTGGGCTCATGGGATGAGTTCCCCATACCTCCAGAATTCCTCGCGGGGGCTGGGAGTCGCATCGAGTTCCCTGCTGTTCCCCCCTCCTCCTCAGGATGGGAGACATGTGAATATGCAGAATCACGAGAGTCTCCTGTAAGTGGGCTAGTTGCAAACGTGCAATTCTATAGCACTCAGGTGGGAACCACTGCACAAAGTATGGTACTGAAATGGTTTCATATTTTAATGTTCAAAGGGGACTTTCACTGTAACATCCATAACTAAATGGAATGCTGCTGGCAAAAATGCAAGTTACAAATGTAGGTAAATATTAAGGCTGTCTATTCTAAGAATAATGTGCATTTACTGTAAACATAAAAGTTAAATTGAAAAGGCAGTTTCAACACTCAGAGGAAGAGTATAGGATATACAATACACAGGAAAAGGATATCATGGCTTCTGAGTTTAAATGGCAAAATAACTTCTCTAAAGGAGGATAATGGGACAATGATGGAACACAACCCAGCATGATTAATTTGTGTTTGGCTCTTGTAATTGCAACATTAAGACGTCTCCAGTCCATAAGAAGTGTTCCAAGCTGTTGAAATAGAATTCTTTTAATACTCCAACCTTACACTATAAATTTTTAAAAGAATAAAAAGTTTAAAAGTACAACCCATCTTCAAATTTGTAAATCTCAAGGAGGTTATATATATTTCTTAAAAGGAACTCTAGTTAAATTTGGTTCCAAAATAAGTTTTTATAAGTTACGCTAAAAATTTAGTCAACATAAATTATCCATTATTATTTTCGTGCCAATACAAGAGTTAATCACTTATGTTTTCTAGCCCAAATGTTACAACAAAAAGCTAGAAGAGAAAGCATTAAAGTGGTTAGAAACACCGCACACAAAAGTGAAACCCACTACAGGTTGGACCTCCCTGGTCCAGCACTGTTGGGACCTGACCAATGCCAGACAAGAGTTTGCCAGACCATGGGAAGTAAAGGGGGGAGAGGGGGCAGAGAGTGCCAGCCTTCCTGCTGGGCTCCTCTCCCCAACCACCAGAGTACGCTATCCCCAGCCACATGGCATACAGCTCCACCAGCCTGTGGACTTTGCTGCCCTGAGGACCCCGCTGGCCATGCAGCCCTGTGGTGGGGTACGGTGGCCCCCTCTAGCCAGCTCTACTTCCAGTTGTCAGCAACCTCTGCCTCTGGGGTTCTCTGGTCCAGCAACATCTATGGTCCTGCCAGACGACAGATATTGCCGGGCCAGAGAGTCCCAGCCCACAGAGGTTCAAACTGTAGTCTATTTTTTTGTTTAAGTATGATAAAGCCAACGAGTATGAATGAAGTAAATCTGAATTTAAAATATTTAATTTTAATATAGCTAAGCATACTAGCAAAATGTTGACCAAACCATTGACACTGTATACATAACTGAGGACATTTTTGAAAAAAGGCCTTTTTAATCTGTCTGTATTACTTTGTAAATGCTAACTACCTGTTGGTTTCCCCAGAGTAAGTGCAACTGTTATAGATGTAGTTATGACTAAACTATATGTTCATTAAAAGGTATTTATTAATGCAGGGGTGGGCAATAATTTTTGATGGGGGGCTACTCCAAGATTTTGGGAAGTGGTCAAGGGTTGCACTTTTCTAGGTGGGGGGCAGATGCAAGGTCTGGGAGGAGGTTAGGTACAGAAGGGAGCTTGGGGTAGGGAACGGGGGTGCAGAAGGTGTGGGGTCTGACAGATAGTGAGTTATGATCTGGGACAGGGGAGGGTTCTGGGTGCAGGGGAGAGTTCTGGCCTGGGGGAAGTGTGTAGGAGAGGCTGCAAATTCTGGAAGAAGGTTGTGACCTGTGGGAGGGGGTGCAGAGGCTTTCCATGATGACTTGAGGCAGGTGGAGTTGGTGGCCTGAGGCAAGGAGGTGGAAGGGAAGAGGGAAAAGACAAGGTGCCAAAGGCAGGCTTTGGCCAGGAGGTGCTTACCTCGACAGCTCCAGCAATAGAAGCTGAGAGATTCTGCTTGGCTGGAGGGCTTGGGCTGTGCACAAAAGGCTCCCCCAGCACCCAGAGCACATAGCCAACAGAGAGCAGCCAGCCACTTAAAGCAGCGTTGGGCTGCTCCACAGCAACTGGCTGCTCTGCGCCTGAGGTCCTGGCAGGCCATATCTTACCCACCCTGTATTAATCTCTTATTTTAAGGATTTTAGTTATAAAATAGTCAACTTTGTGAAATGTCTTCAAATAATTTAGTACTGAACAAAATATGATCCACTCACATTTCCATCATTATTATTCCTAACAAACGATACTATTATGATACTTTTGTCTCTTCCTTGGTATTTGTCCACCGTATTTACTTCCACTGTACTGATACAAGAGCTTGTCATCAAGTCAGTAATTATCTTTAACTGATGTCTGTATGGAGATATGATACCAATATCTGAAGCTTTACAGCCAGCCTAAATAGAAAGAAAAGGCAAGAGTTATTTGAAAACCTGGCAGTGTAGTTAGTTTGTGTTATGTTCTATAAACAAGTATCTCCAAGGAATTTCCAGTGACTAATCAATTATCATAGAAAGTCTAAGCACAGTTATTAGTTAATATCAGGCCCTAAGTTTGGGTCTTCCCTAACACTTTGAGGTGGGGGGGGGGAGGGGGAAGAGGTCCTCAAAGTCCTCATTTCTTCCTTTACTTCATACTTGAAAGAAATCCCATATAACTGATTAACCTTCAGAATGCTGAAAATAGCTCCCATCAGAATATATCAGTCAATCCCACTCCAAGTTTGTTCTAGGAGTCCATGAAGAGAAAGAGGTACTTGTCCATTTCTACAAGGACCTAACATGCTGCCTCAATGTACTCCTTTGGGAGAGTACAGGAAACAAAATGAGATCCTGAATTATAACTGCTGCATTAGATGGCTATTGAACCAACCTTCAGTTTACTTTTGATGTTCCAGTACATTCTCAAACAAAACAACTTTCCATTCTGCAGTGGTTGCATACTACTGTTAAAGTATAACTTTTTGCCCCCTCCCTCTAGACATCATATTAAAAGAAAAATACCTTAATAAAGGAGGAAGCGAGGAAGAGTACTATTTTAGCTTCTGTCATGTTACTTACACCACCTTTTTCTGCCTGTTCTGGTGCTGGAACCTGTACACAAAAGTAAATGAATATTATATGCAATAAGTTCAGTAATTCAGTGAAATAGTTTTACATTAGCAAGTGTAATGCAAATACTCAAATCACACCTTTTATCCTAAACCACCAAGAACTTTATCAAGAGGACTATCCCTCTTTTACAGCTGGAAACCTGAAGCACAAGGCAGCCTGACTAATGTCACAGAAAATTCTGTCTTATCAATGGACTTTTTACTCTAGGAAAAGTCAGTGTTCATAGTGGGGATTCCCTATCTGTATGGTAAGTAGAGGCAGACTTTTTTTTATTTTTTAAACTGAACTTTGGTCTTAGGGCTATCCCTCAAAAAGAACTCTCCAGAATAGCATTATTTCAGCTTTAGAAATAAAATTTCTAAATGCTCTTCAATTGAAACCACTTATACCAGAGTTCTGACAAGGAAAAGTTTATAGCTGATTACTTCCTTCCTTCTAGCAATTCTCACAGAAAGAACGGTTACTTAGCTCGTAACTGTGATTCTTCAAGATGTGTTGCTCATGTCCATTCCAATTAGGTGCGTGTGCGCAGCGTGCACACGTCGTTGAAAGTTTTTCCTTCAGCTGTACCCAGCGGGGAGCCCCTTGCAGTGGCGCTGGTATATCGGCCCATATCTATCCCTGATGGCCCCCTCATCCACTCCATTCCTTCTTACTGGAATACTCTGGAGAAAGGGCGGCAGGCGGGGATTTGGAATGGACATGAGCAACACAACTCGAAGAATCACAGTTGGGAGGTAAGCAACCGTTCTTTCTTCTTAGAGTGATTGCTCCTGTGCATTCCAATTAGGTGACTCCAAAGCAGAACCTATGGAGGAAGGCCGGATGTTGAAGCTACAGTGGAGTGGAAGACCTCCCTGCCCAGGTCAGTGTCTTCCCTGGCTTGATGCTTTAATGCATAGTGATTGGTGAAGGTATGGACAGAGGACCATGTCATGGTTCTGCAGATGTCCAGGATGGGAATCTGCACCATGAAAGCGGTGGAGGCTGCCACAGCTCTCGTGGAGTAGAGCCAGTACGCCCATTAGGGCATAGCCCTCCTTGAAACAAGTGGTTATCCAGGAAGAAATCCGCTGGGAAGACACGGGTTGACCGCGATGGCCACAAAGAGTTGCAGTGACTTCCTGAATGGTTTTGTCCTGTCTAAGAAAAAAGCTAATGCCCTGCGCACATCTAAAGTGTGTAAAGCCTGTTCTTTCCCAGACGCGTGCAGCTTGGGGTAAAAGACTGTCAGGAAAATATCCTGGGAGGTGTGGAAAGTAGACACCACCTTGGGCAGAAAAGCTGGCTGGGGGCAGAGCCTAACCATGTCTTTGAAAAACACTGTGTAGGGGTGATCCAAGGTGAGCGCTCTGAGTTTGGATACCCACCTGGCAGATGTGAGTGCCACCAGGAAAGACACCTTATAAGACAGGTACAGAAGGGAGCACGTCACTAAGGGTTCTAATGGGGGTCCCATAAGTTTGGAAAGGACCAGGTTTAGGTCCCACTGGGGGACAAGCTGGCAAACGTGTGGGTAGAGCCTGTCCAACCCTTTCAGAAATCTGTTGCCAATTGGTTTAGCAAACAGGGTTTTCCCTCCCTTCCCCTGGGTGGAAGACAAAAATGGCAGCCAAGTGCACCCTTGATGGACGAAGAGAAGTCCTGGAGCCTAACAGGTAATCCAGGATCAAGGGGATCGCAGCCCGCCTTGGGTATACCCCCTTCTGGGCAGCCCAGATACCGAACTGTTTCCACTTAGCCAGGTATGTGGTCCTAGTGGAGGGCTTCCTGCTATCCAGTAGGACTTCCTGGACCTGTTCTGAGCACTGAAGTTCCTCGGCCATTAGCCATGGAGCTCCAGACTGTCAAATGCAGCAAGTGCGGGTCCGGATAGCAGAGCCTGCCTGAGTCCTGAGCAATCAGGTCCGGGAGCAGCGGGAGGGTCATGGGTCGCTCAAATGACAGGTTGAGAAGGGTTGAGAACCAGTGCTGCTTGGGCTAGGCCAGGACGATTAAAATCAGGGATGCCCTGAACTCCCGCAACCTGAGCAAGACCTCGTAGATTAGCAGGAGTGGTGGGAAGGTGTATAGTAGGCCCTGCAGCCAGGGGAGAAGGAGAGCATCTCCCAGTGAGCACTGTCCCTGTCCCATGAGGGAGCAGAATTGGTGGCACTTACTATTCTGCCCTGTGACGAAGAGGTCCAGTGGGGAGACCCCCATGCAGGGAAGATAGATTGGGCTACATCCCACCTCAGAGGCCATTTGTGTCCTGCAAAGGACCTGCTCAGTTTGTCCACCAGAACGTTTTGGGAGCCCGGGACTGCTCAGTTTGTCCACCAGAACGTTTTGGGAGCCTGGGAGGTAAGCAGTGAGGCGGTAAAGTTTGTGGATGATACTAAACTGTTTAAGATAGTCAAGACAGAAGCAGACTGTGAAGAACTTCAGAAAGATCTCACCAAACTGAGTGACTGGGCAACAAAATGGCAAATGCAATTTAATGTGGATAAGTGTAAAGTACGTACAGTATGATGGGGGCTAATTTGACTATGACAAATCAGGAAAGAGATCTTGAAGTTATCATGGATAGTTCTCTGAAAACTTCCACAGTGTGCAGACGCGTTTAAAAAGGCAAATAGGATTGTCGAAGCAAGAAACTTCTGTGTTTAGGCGGCTAAAAACAGCTTTATTGATCAATAAGGCACAAAGTGAGAAAAACATGACCCTGGCAGAACCGGGCTCAGTCAGGCTGTTCAACACAATCAATCCTAGTATTTAATACCCTTAACCAAACAAATCTGACGTCAGGGCAAGAAATCAAAGTGAACTTCAAAGAGAAACTACTATCAGCAAAGAAAGAAACAGGTATTAGGGAGTAGGAGCTTCAGTTCAAAATAGTTCATTAATGCATTCCAACAGCTCATCCTCCTGGCTCTTCTCACATCGATGAAGGTCAGTTCACTTTCTAGCGTACGTGCAGAAGCAGGCAACTTAAATGGCTTCTGTGATACAAATGGCTTCTAGCTAAATATGAAATGGTTTCCACAGGATGTTAGGAATTATTAAGAAAGAGATAGAAAATAAGACACAGAATATCTTACTGCCCCTGTATAAAACTATGGTACGCCCACATCTTGAATACTATGCACAGATGTGGTCTCCTCACCTCAAAAAAGATATTTTGACCTTAGAAAGGGTTCAGAAAAGGGCAACTAAAATCATTAGGGGTTTGGAACGGGTCCCATATGAAGAGAGGTTAAAGCGACTGGGATTTTCAGTTTAGAAAAGAGGAGACTTAAGGGAGATATGATAGAGGTATATAAAATCATGAGTGATGTGGAGAAGGTGAATAAAGAATAGTTATTTATTAGTTCCCATAATAGAAGAACTAGAGGACACCAAATTAAGTTAATGGGTAGAAAGTTTAAAACTAATAAAAAAATAGGTATGTAGCTGTGTAGTAGTTCTTCACACAGCACGTAGTCCACCTGTATTGTATTGTTTGAAAAGCTTATTGAAATAAAAAAATGTCTTAAAATGCCTTGCTGAAGATTTACAGACTAAACTGAGCAATCGTACCAGAAATTCAATTCTGGATGAAGATGTATTTTGGGTACAGGTCCAAAAACTGCATGAACTGATAAGTCCTGTTGTTAAATGGATTACATTGAATATGACCAGCCAAAAATGAGCAAAGTTCCTGAATGTTTCAGGGAATTAAGTGATCATTTTGATAGGCTACTTCCCAAAAGTCCATTTTGCAAACTAGAAAAACAGGATGTCATGAAAAGTTTTAAAAAAAGAAAAGATTCGCCTCCAAGCACAGGCGAGGGGAACGGGCCCCACCTTGCTTGTTTATGTACGCCACCGCTGTTGTGTTGTCCGATAGGACGAGGACAGACTTGCCCCTGAGGTGGGGAAGGAAAACCGCACAAGCCAGTCAGAGTGCCCGGAGCTCCCGGATATTCATATGCAGGGAGATCTCGTCCGCAGACCACATACCTTGCGTATGAAGATCTCCCAAAAAGGCTCCCCAGCTGGCGTCCAATGCGTTCATGACGCATCGGGTGGACGGTTCTGGCCTGGAAAATGGTACCCCCATGGAGACCTCTGCCTGGTTGGTCCACCAGTTCAGCGCGAGGAGGATGGAAGCGGGGAGCGTCACCACCCTGTCCCATGAATGGATGATCGGGTTGTGGGCTCACGATAGCCACACCTGTAGTGGGTGCATGAGCAGCCTGGCATGTTGCACTACATAAATGCAGGCGGTCATGAGACCCAGGAGGCGCGTGCAAGTCTGTGCGGTGGGTCACTGGAAAGTTCTGAAGCACCCTGACCGCCGCCTGTATCACGATAAACTGGGACTTGGGTAGGGAGGCTCTCGCTGAGGTAGAGGCCAGGGTGGCTCCCACAAACTATTATTGGAGTGGGCGTTAGGGACGACTTGTCCAGGTTTAACAAAAGACCTAGATCATCCAAGAGTGCGCACACTATGGTGATGTGCGTTCACACCTGTGATTCTGAGTTCCCCCTCAGGAGCCAGTCGTCTAGATTAGTGATGTGAGGTGAGAATATTCTCTGGAGAATATTCTCCAAAAGATTATTTCCAGAGAATTTTTGAGAATTTTCTAATTTTTCATTTCCTCTTGAAATAATATATTGTATTCAACTTTTAGAGCACCCTGAATGTTAAAGAACTTTCTTGATCATTCAAGATAGTTTGAGAACATTATAGAACGTTCCAAAACGTTATGGAACTTTCTAGAACATTCATGAGTCAGGAATTCTGATTGTTATGGAACTTTCTGGAAGAATCATAAAAAGTATATGAAGAGGCAATAACACATTTATTCTCTTCTTTTAAAGATTTAATTGTGTTTTCATCAGTATGAAAAGAAGAACTAAACCTAAAAGTGATGTGTGGGATTAGTTCCTTCATAAAACAGCTACAGACAAAGTGTTATATGAATGTAAGTACTGCAAGGTTGACTACATCAGAA